CGTACATCTCACGTGACATGGCACAGCCTCAGTCCCAAGTCCATCCATCCATACCATTGATGTAGATCTTCAAGAACAGCTCAGAACTAAATTCATTAATTTTCTGGAAACATTACTTTAAAAAAGGACATAGTACAAATCTTTCGATGCTAGTGCTGAAACGGTACCTGAGTTTCCATACTTATACCAGAATAACACACTTGGAAGTGTATGGCACAGAGGAATATGCTATATCAATAATTCTGAGGCAATTATGACCTGATAGCCCTCGTCTTTGGGACCAATCAATGGTTGAATATCATTTAACCTGTATACTGAGCTTCCATAGCTGCGTTTCCACTGTCGGAACCTAATGAGTGGTATACCTGTACATCTCTCCTCATAACCTCCCGGGTTGACGTGGACCTTCCTGCTTTGTTTTTCCACTGTATTTTCTTTGTGTCTGTCTCTGTTTAGATGAGGGAGGGGCTGCTCCTCTCTCACACACGCAGCCAGCTGAGCAGAGGGAGAGCAGAGCATATGATGAATCACGCTATAGTACAACAATCAGCCAGTAACAGAGACTGTATGAGCAGTTTATCAAACAGCTGTTGAGCAAGCAGAACACATGTTTTCAGAAATGTGACATCTTCACCACTTTTCCTGTGGTCCACTCACTCAAATCTTGCTGTGCTGAAATGAGTGATTATAGTTAAAAGGTAAATGCACTTGCTGATGCCCTTCTGGCTCTCATGTTCTCTGGCTCCCCCTCTTTCTCTGTCCCCTGTCACCCATAGCCTTTTGAGGCCAGTGACCTGCTGCTGGGACTGAACTTCTCAAAGGTGCTGAGCAGCCTGGTTGCTCTGAATAAAGTGACTGCAGGTTAGTCAAAGTGTGTGCAATATGTATGAGTTTCAGGATGTGTGTATTTATGAAATACAGCTTTGTGGTCATGGATGTGTGGGCTCTGACTGCAGATGCCCGGCCTGGTGTATTTATATTTTGTCCTTTGTGTTCAGATATCGGCGTAGGCAGTGATTCGGTGTGTGCCCGACACTCTTTAGCACACCGCATCAAGTCATTTGAGTCACTATCCTCTCAGGCTTCACTGGGACAATCCTCCAAGCTGCTGCAGAACCAGTTTCGCAGTCTGGTAAGGTCAACGCTCACTACCACTCACAAAGTTTAGTAACACAATAGGTCTGAGCCACTGAAAAGGTGGACACAGCAACATTAACACCAGTAAAATACACTCACCGGCCACTTTATTAGGTACGCCTGTACAATTGTATGCAGTTCAATGCAACACTTCCACCTTATGAAGCTCAAAATGTTTCAGCTTTTGGTGAAATTGTCATAAATGTATAAATTCACTTATATATTCATTATTGAAGTCATAGTTAAAGGTGGACCTCAGCACTTCAGGTACTGGACTACATTATATTTAGAGGTGTTTATATTTTTGTCCTCCCTAGCTATGTACATGAGAGGGTCAGAATATTAGGAACACCTCAGGACACTTTACAAAGTAAGGTCTAGACCTTGAGTTAGTATGATTTTATAGAAAACGAAGCTAGATTTGGATCAGTAATGGAATCGCAAAATCACAATCGAATTGCAAATGAAAGACGGAGTCTCTGAGGGATGGAAATGATGAATATGATGTTAAACAACATTTGTTGTAACAAAATGGATGAAACATAACATGTTTCATAATAGAACACTTCTTGTTGACACTGGTATTCCTAATAATGCTGCTTCCATTTTAAACTGTCACCAGGTATTTCCTGACCACACAGTCTCTGTTTCTACACATTGTTTATTTTTCCCCTCCCCGGTGGCCTCTTCCCTCGTTTGTCAGGACATGTCAGAAAACAGCGGACAGCAGCTGCTTGTGAAGGCACGTTTCAACTTTGAGCAGACCAACGAGGATGAGCTCACCTTTAATAAGGGTGACATCATCAGCGTAACTCGTCAGGAGGAAGGTGGCTGGTGGGAGGGGACACTCAATGGCAAGACTGGGTGGTTTCCTAGCAACTATGTCCGTGAGGTCAAAGGCTCTGGTAGGTAGCTCAGCAGGTATTAAGTTCTTTAAATATGACTCCTCCCTGAATTTCAGTGACATAATATCTCTTTTTCAAAAGTTGAATTAGCAGCTTGACCTGTTGCACTGCAGTTAATAAGAAGCACCTAGATGTTAGTGCTTCTTGGAAGGAAAAGGTTTATGAACTAAAATCATCTACAGTGTGCTGAGAATTAGCCAAAAGGTGCAAAGCTGGGATAAACCGCAGGCAACATGTCCAGTGACATTTATGAAAAGGTCAGATCAGTTCTCATAAAGTTTCTTTCAATTGGATATCGCTCAAAAATAATGTGTAAGTTCCAGGATTAATGTGGGCAGTCAATCATCTGAATGTTCACTACAGAAATCTCACTTTTAAAATGTTATCCCACTATTTAGCTTTGCCTCTCAAGCTGAACTCAGTGAACAGGATTTTAGTCAATATGTGAGTGACACCACTTTCTAAATCACAGCCTTTTCTGCAAACCTTGCCATAGACGAGAGCAACAGCTGTAACCATGGTATATGTACACAACAGTAATTGCGACAGCTAGAGCCTCAGTGTTTTGAAGATAGATAAACATTAAATATGCAGGATAGATGGATAAAATGCAGTATATGAGCAGGGCAGACAAGGCCTTTTAGTCTGCTTGTAAATGATATTTAGTCTTTCAAGCATACATAACTTTAGCATGGTGTTCATTTTCTTGACTCATCTGATACAATACAAGTAGCTACATTTACCCTGGTTTCTTTTCTTTCTGGTCACAGACAAACAGGTGTCTCCAAAGTCTGGCACTCTTAAGAGCCCACCTAAAGGTTTTGACACGTCTGCAATCAGCAAGACGTACTATAACCTGGTAAGAACACAACTCAAAAGTTATTTGAAATCAGTCTTCTTACCTCTGCCATGGGTGGGGGGTTTGTTTTGACTGGATTTTTTGGTTGGTTTGTGTTTTTGTTAACAGCATAACTCAAAAAGTTATGAACAGATTTTAATGACGTTTTTTGGAGAGGTCAGGTATGGACCGCGCAACAATTGATCAGAGTTTGGGACTGATCTGCTGCATAATTTGGATGCAGGATTTTTCTAAATGATTATTCACCATTGTGAACGTGTCAAAGGTTGACTGTATGTGAGCCCCCTCATGGCCAACGTGTGTAGCTTGTGCCGCTGAAGACGAGTGAGTCTAATAAGTGTAGTGTGACTTGTGAAGATCTGTAAGCACACAGTTATGTCATTCTGCCTGAGACATTTATTTGTGACATGTACTATGTCAGTGTATTATGTAAAGCTAATCTGTTAATGGTGTGGCCTGTGCATGTTGCTAAAGCTAGTTGACATGCTACAGTCTTGGGGGTAGCCTATTCCAGAAAGCACATTAAGTTTGTTCAAGGTACAATGAGGAAAACTCTGGCTTTTCAGTTCCAGCTTGTTATCTGACCAAAGTAGCTCTATTGACAGGCAGCGACATCTCGCTCAGAGCACAGTAGTCTGTCAGTGAGGATGCCGCTGTTCGAGCTACACCTTATAGCCACTTTCCCACTGTCAGAACCTAACGAGTGGTACACCCCGTGCTTCTTACGGTCACTCGGCATAACCTCACAGGTTGATGCGGACTGCCCTACTTTGCTTTTCTACTGTATTTTTCTGAGGAGATGCACTCACAGCTGAGCAGAGGGAGAGCACAGGACATGAAGTATCACTGCATAGTGCAACAAGCAGCCAGTAATGGAGACTGTCAAACTGCTGTAGAACAAGCAGAACACAATCTTGAATGTGATGTCTTCATCGCTTTGCCTGCAGTCCACTCACTGAAGACCTCATTTTACCCCTAAACCAGTGAGTGAATGTCTGTCATTTCTGCTGTTTTTCTTGAACAACTTTCAACATAATAATTACATCAGTGTCATTCCAAAAGCCAGCAGCAGGCTCTCATTGCCAAGCAATCATATTATGAGAGTCACACTATCATGGGAATATTGCTTTTATGGCATTAATGGGGAAACAGGCTTTTCCCTTGGTGGAGGTTTCACTCTCTTAGCATTGTCTAGTTTTCCTATAATTTTAATTTCTTACTTCTGTCTCTCTCTTCTCCAACATGTTGAAAAGGATTAGTTCTGTGGTTTTGTTAGTGCCTGTTTTTTAATCTCTGTCTTTGTCTTTGCTTTTTCCATTCAGTATTTGTAAAATTCTCTTGCCTGCAAGTAGTTAAATGGAGGAACTGGGATAAAATCAAGTTCTTCTCCAACCGCAGCTCTTTCTAAACAACTCACAGAGATACTTTTGCTCCTCCCTTGTGTAAAATGCTCTGTGACTACTCGACAGGAGTGGTTTGCAAAGCTGTGATCACAGTTGCACAGTGAAATGATTTTTTTTTCTTTCACACCGTCTCTCACAGTTTAGGATCTTGTAGTATTTAGGTGTTCTTAGAGCGCACAGCTTTTAAATGTGTGGGGTTATTATCACTTGTTTATTACTTATGGCTGTGGATAATTATTTGGCCAGCTAGTCCCTTTTAGAGAAATATGCTCCATTATTTACAGCTGAGTAACGTCACACTAGTCATCAAGAGGATATATAACTGAATGTTTTCTGATTTTTGATCAAATATACCTTATATGCATAAATGTATAAATCAGTTTAATTGTTTATTATGTGATATTATTCACCTCATAATATAAACATTTCCAGTAGCATGGATAACTTAAGCTAGTCTGCAGCATCAGGCATATTTGATCTGATGAGTGACATTGCATTAAACTAGTGTTATAAATGTTTTTGTAGATTATTAACTGTGGCTCTTACTCATGAAATAAACAATACTGTGACTGTCACCTCTCAAAGAATGGGTATGTAATAAAGAATAGAGCTGATTTAATTTGTGAGATATGGACCCTTTGTAAATCTCATCTGTTTTTTCCTTCTGTTGTAGGTGTTGCAGAACATTTTAGAAACTGAGACAGAATATTCCAAGGACCTTCAGAGCCTCCTGACAAACTACCTGCGACCTTTTCAGAACACTGACAAGTACGACTCCTTTATGCATAAAGCTAGACCAAAAAAAATTGCCTGGTTCGGGGCAATTTTGGCATGATTGTTGTGTAACAGGAACCTGGAACGGTTCGATTTTGTGGCCTTCCCTGACAAGAAATCTGGCTTGAGTGGCTGACTTTCTTTTAGATGTCAATGAATATCACCATTTTGCTTTTCCCATTATTTCATTTTACTTCAGACTGAACAGCTCGGATGTGGCTCTGATTCTGGGAAACCTTGAGGAAATTTGCACCTTCCAGCAGATGCTTGTCCAATCCCTGGAAGATTGCACCAAGTTAGTCCCTCCCTGCACACACAGCCTGTCTGCAGCAGCATCTTCACTGTTTCATAATGAGCAGAGTGACATCTAGTGTTGGTTCGGCTGTACTACAAGGATGTTGGATTATTCCATAAACTGGAATATACAGTACAGCATTATATACAGTATTTGTGATATTGTAATGCTTGTAGTTTATTGCGCACATACACATTCCATATACTTCTGCTCCAGTCTGTTTTCATAAATATCTTTTTATCAGTGTGCGATCTTTTGTTCCTTTTTCCCTATAGGCTTCCAGAAATCCAGCAAAGGGTAGGTGGCTTCTACCTGAATCTCATGCCACAGATAATGGCTCTTAATGTCGGCTACTGCTCCAACCACCCCTCTGCAGTAAATATACTCACCCAGCACAGGTATGCTTGCACCATCAGCTACATTTAGTTTGATTTTATTTTATATAATTTCATGCAGCACGACTGGGCACATGGAAAAAGAAGAACACGTTCATGTTACCTAGACTCTTTATGACAACTGGTGTTAGAAAAGGTAGTATTATTTGAGGAGTTCGTCTTTGACAGTTGTAGTTACATGCTGTTTGCTGATTGTGGCAGCTTTTATGGCTTGTCAGTTTGGAGACAAAGTGCTTACTCTGCAGTCCATTAGCAGCACAGCTCATAATAAAGACAGGGCAAGACAGTAGGTAAACATCCAGCAGAGGCAAAAGAGATCAGTTAGTTGGTTGAATGGTTGGTTGCAAACCCTGTGAAGATACTGTGTTCTAGAGGAAATGTTTCAGAGATTGTAGGTAATAAAGACTGCATGATAAGCTAAGTGAATAATTAATTTTCTCTCTCTTTCTCTTCCTCCTCTTGCAGTGAAGTATTGGGGGAGTTTATGGAGGGGAGGGGAGCAGTCAGTCCTGGGATCCTCACCCTGACCACAGGCCTCAGTAAACCCTTTATGAGGCTTGACAAATACACCACCTTACTCAAAGAGCTGGAGAGGCACATGGAGGTGCATGTATGAGCATAAACATCTGCCTAGAACACTTGTGTTGTGATCTGTGTTTAATAACCCGCATTTCTTTTCTTTCAGGAGGGTCATCCTGACAGGCAAGACATTCAGAAGTGCATGGCATCTTTCAAAAATCTGTCTGTAAGATGAGCTTACTCCCTCTCCAGTCAGAAGTAACATGTAGCAGTTCATGACTTTGTATTAAAAGCACTGAATTAATAGCAGCTTGTCTGTTCTTGTCATGCTAGGTTCAGTGCCAGGAGGTGCGGAAGCGTAAGGAGCTGGAGCTGCAGATTCTTACCGAGTCCATTCGGCTGTGGGAGGGGGATGACATTAAGACCCTGGGCTCTGTGCTGTACATGAGCCAGGTCTTAGTCCAGAGTCCTGGCTCAGAGGTACTAGAACCATCCTTCATCTGCACTTCACTTTGCTATAAATTGCTACAAACAAGTCATTAGCTGTCAATGTCAGAACATGGTGCATAAAATTCAGCATTTTTAGTTGTTGTTCAGCTAATTAATGTTATTAAACAGTTTTAATCTGGTAGCATATTTAAGCTATTGTCATCAAATATTTAATGTTTGAATTGAGTTTGACCAGTCAAGAGGGCATTGCTAATATAAAAGAAACTTTGGTTAATAGGTACTTGCAACATACTGTAACATCGCCGTGATGAAGCAGTGATGTGCAGTTAACATCTTGTCAGTGGATAATTCATACAGCTGCAACTTTCCCTGAGACTTTCTAAAGTGGTTTCAGATCTGAACTTGACTTCAGTTAAATGCTTCCATAATAGAACAGTGATATGCAAATAGGTTTACACTTTATCATTTTCTCCCATCCCTTCTACATTTCTCTCTCTTTCTTGAACCACTTCCTATCTGACAGGAGAAGAGTGAGCGTTACCTCATGCTCTTCCCCCATGTCCTCCTCATGTTGTCTGCCAGCCCCAGGATGAGTGGCTTCATATTCCAGGTAGGTAATTAACAATTACTCAGATCATCAAAGGTCATTGTTCTTTAATGCCTTGAGGCATTGTATTGTATCATCATTTCCCTCTGCAGGGAAAATTGCCCCTGGCCAGTATGACAGTGACCAAACTAGAAGACTGTGAAGCTCATAAAAATGCTTTTGAGCTCAACGGTGAGGCTACATGAAATGAACAAGATGCAGAATCACTTCATTTAGACGTATCGTCTTCAGCAATGTTGTCTCTATCCCTGCAGGCACAATGTTTGACCGTCTCCAGGTGATGTGCACCAATCAGCAGGACCTGCAGGACTGGGTTGAACACCTGACCAGACAGATCAAACATGCTACTGCCACGGCTCCCAGTCACAAACCACTCACCGTTCCCTGCCATACGGTCAGGGGTTAATGATTACTTTACCACATACAGATGATTTTCTTTCTATTCATTTGATCCCCGGTGTAGCATAAACACTGAATCTATATGTTGATTTCTTATTGATTTTACAATGTGAAACCCTAAAATTAATATGCCACGAAAGGCTGGCTTGCATAATGCCTAGCAATCATCTAAAATTACTATACAGCCATGTGTGAAGTACCTTTTTTTTTACTAGAATGGCTGTAATACACAATTGCACTTAATGAAATTAATACATATACATAATAAGGAACACTATCTCTTGAATAAACATTCAACAATAACAATTGTTTTGTCTACAATAGGCCACTTGTATGCTGGTGGCAGTATTGTGGCTGTCTGAAAAATCATTTTGAAATCGATCTGCAGGGCCTTAGTTAAAGGGAACTACTGGAAATAGGGAAGTGTCACGTGGAGGCCACCTTACTATTTCTAATCATGAGGTATTTTTGGGAAGATTCAACTGGAAGAAGCCCCCGGGGTGAACAACAAAACACACTGCCTAAGTAAAATGAATTCCTAATCTGTCATAATTGTTCTTTAGTTAGGTATGTGGGTTTACTACAAAAACAAAACAAAGTCCTATAGTTTTTTTTTTTTCAATAGACCAGGGGTAGGAAAGTTCGGTCCACGAGAGCTGCTACCCTGCTTGCTTTCCAACTATCCCTTCCCTACCCACTGCTCATCAAGGGTCAAGGGTCAAAGTGTTTATTTGTCATATGCACAGTTAGCAAACGTGTTTCCCTGTACAATGAAATTTTTACTTTGCCGTCCACATGAATGCCACAAAATACAAATGAAATATAAAGTAGATAAATAAGTAACACAAAATCTAAGGCACTTTAAGCAGCAAATGCAGCAATATAATAAAAATATATTACTATATAATAAGAGAATGTATGCTGCATGGGAGCAGCAGGTGCAGCATTACCTGGATCAGGTGTGTTCAGTCTGTGCGAAGCTGGAAGATAGCAAATCATTTTGTCTTTCCTCATTCCACCTTCATTTAAATGGCATGTTCCAGCTTCCACCCATAGAGGACCAGAATTGCTCACCCCTGCCATAGACTGTATATAAAGATGGACAATGCAACAGTTCCCAGGATTGAAGCCTAAGTCTATCGCCCCCTGGTGGCTGGCTACAGTATAGGTCATAAATCCCGGCCCCCTACATGTTAGTGGATGAGACAAGCAAGACTAAAAATTTTAAATAAGAAACAAACAAATGTTTTCAGAGGTGATTTCTGTTGTTTTTGGTAGATATCACACTGGTTTGTGTACAAGTGGTCATTTTTCAGGAAAATGTTTTTAATGAATTATTTGACGATATAATAAGAAGTGCATTTCAGATGATTTGACAGCTTTGCTTGGTGACCTGATACTGTCACTCTACCTTTGATTGCTACTTAGCAGAATGTGGTTGTGAAATGCCAAGATGGCAGCTGCCGTATTGACATAATTTTGGCTTCACCTTTGTACAGTGGAGGGTTGTCAATTTAAATTCAGTCCGTTTGCGTAACAGGTTGTTTTGTTCCCTCAGCTCCCATCTCACCCCTTTACCCCATCCCGGCATGCCGATGGGAGAGCCATGACAGTGGCCCCCACCTACCACACTCTGCCTCACCCCTCCTCCCATGGGATGTCTCACAACACCATGATGTGGGGCCCACTGGAGCCACCCAACACCCCCAAACCCTGGAGCCTGAGCTGCCTGCGGCCTGCACCCCCATTACGGCCCTCTGCTGCACTCTGCTACAAGGAGGTGAGAGACTCCGTTTTCATGTGATTTGGATGTCTTTATATGTTTTTAAATTTTACTGTAGATTTTAAATTTAGTGACATTTTCTCATTTACAGGATCTTAGTAAAAGTCCTAAGAGTGTGAAGAAACTCCTTCCCAAACGCAAACCTGAGAGGAAACAGTCTGAGGAGGAATTTGCCTTAAGGAAGAGTATGTTCAAAATGTTTCCTCCTTATGTCCAAAATACATAATACACCAAAATATGATAGTTTTTCATTTTTTGAAAATAGTCTTTTTGCTTTCTTGTGAGAGATGAGACAATTGACATACTCATATCTGTTCATTCACTATAATCTGGAGACTGTTAGTGTAACTTAACAAGAGGAAACAGCTAGCATGCTGCTACATGCTGTAACTCTCTGGAAAACCACATTGACATTTTCTTGTCTTTGGGTTTGTATTGATTAAGCCCATGACATATAAGATTTCACTTACTGAGTTTTAGAAGTGCTAGTAGGCCAATTTTATTTTTGTAGCTTTGAGAGTAAAGGTATCTGTTTCCCATTGCTTCCAGTCTTTATGCTAAGCTAAGATAGGCTAATTGTCTACTGTCTCTAGCATCAACAGATAGATACTGTATGAAATTGGTGTTGATATTCAGAATGAGAGGCATATTTCTCAAAACCGTTAACCTTTACATATAGTGGGTGGGAGGCTATATCCAGGCAGTGACTGGAGATCTGAGGTACATGAGCATGTTGATTAAAGTTTTTCCTCCTGCACCTTTTTGTTCTCAGGTACAGCTGCTCTGGAAGAAGATGCCCAGATCCTGAAAGTTATTGAGGCGTACTGCACCAGTGCCAAAACCAGGCAGACTCTGAACTCCAGTAAGAAAACACAGTTTAATCATACACGTGCATGCACAAATGAGGATAAGTTCACATTGGAGCCTGATGTCTTTGTATCAGCTGTATCTGTATTCTGTTGCTCAGTGCCTTTCTTTAACACTGGTATTCTAAACTGATTCTTCTAACAGTATCTTTTCTTCTTTCTGTCTCTCCTTCACTCCTCACTCTTTAACACTGTTTATCTGCTTGGCCTGATTTTTTTTTGTTTTTCATCTACTACTTTTTTCTCCATACTCCGCTATAATTATCTCCATGTTTTCTAATTCATCATCTCATCCTGCATCGCTCTCTGGTTTTATGATTTACCATTTGTTGCATGTTACATGCACTACCTCCTCCCCATTGCACCATCACTTTTCTTTCTTTGCCCACCATTCTTCCCTGTACATTTGCAACATCACTGCCAACTTGGCATGCCCCGGCCAGCCTGGCAGGGCACTGACCTGATGCACAACCATGTGCTAGCTGACATGGACCGGTCCTGTGTGGACTCGCCAGGCCGCCGTAGCAGCGTGTCACGGCCAGAATTGACCTCTGACCTTTCGGAAGACTCTGACTATGACTCCATCTGGACCACCCACAGTTACAAGATGGGTTCAGTGCCACGCAAGAGCTGCATCTCTCACCAGAACTAAAGAACGTACAGTGCTGCCACACTGTACTGTAATGTAACGTACAGCACGTTTACCTCTTCACCTTCAATGTATTAAAGGAAACTAGATTTTTTTTTAAATTTATCTATTTATTTTCTATTGTATATGTTCTTTATGTTAACTTATTTGGTTTATTTATTTTTTATGGCAGCATATTGCTGCCACCATGAGAAAGAAATATTTGCTCAGTATCTCATAATGAGAAACTTTTTTCATTATAACAAGATACTTTAACAAAAAAATGTGATATTTTTCTCTTTATTACAACATTTCTTGTCATAATGATATAGTGTGGTAACTTCAATCACAAGTTGAAAATTTGTTTCAGATTTATGGCCCAAACCATCTAATGTGGTAACACTCACTCTGGAATGGATCACATCATTTCTACTCCCTAACATGAGCCCTGCAGAGCTTGTAGTGAATTCATGCAGCACACAGACTGACTTTACTTGCTGTCACCTGTAACATGATCGGGACATATGCAGGATAATTTTTAATTTATCATGGCTCATGAGCTGCAGTCAAGTGCCAGGCTGTATTGTGCACCCATGTACAATTATTGTGTGTGGATTTAATTGTCAGATCAGTAATTCTCAAGGAATGGTTGGAGCACACCTTGGTCACTGTGTGGAAAGTTGGTATGTGAGAGTGTCGAAGAGACATGCGCAGAATGTGCCTAGGAGGTGCACTCCAGTCGGTGCTGTGTGTGTTCTCCCACAAGGGATATGCAATTCTCAGCAGGCAGAACTTTGCATAACACCAGTCCTTGAGAATAACTGTAGTAATGATATGAATCACTCTAGTGTCTATATTGTCATATTAGATGGTTCTTCGGGCTGTAAATTTGAACCTATATTTCAATTTATGATTGAAGTTACTATGATATCTTCATCTTCATAACAAGAAAATACAGTATGTTGTTATAACATGAAAGAAATGACATTTTACATGAAAGTATGTTGAACTGTTGCAGGTGCCAAGCTTTAAAGTAAATAAGTGAGTATGATGTGTGTGAGCGTTTTCAAATATTGCACCTTGGCTTTGGAATACCTTCCTATTGCAAGCTTATCAGTGCTGATTTGTTATGGATTTATTGCTGTGCCATGTAGTGCTTTTTGAGGTATTTTAAATTGTTATAGTGTTTTACATTATGTTGTTTTTCCAGGATTATGGCGATATTTGCGGGAATTTATATTGCTGTATTGGGTAGTTTGATGGCATTTTATAATGTTATACACCATTGTGCTGTATTATTTAAATTTATGTTATTATTTTGTTTGTTTCTTTTCATTTTAATTCTGTCTTGTTATGATTGCCCTGTTTACTGAGCAAATATGTTTTTCTCATGGTGGCAGCAACATGCTGCCGTAATTTCTTTTAAGATGTTTAAAGCATCTCCCTGTTGCCTTTGTGACTTTTTCCCTTTTATGTGCCTCCTCTCTTTCTGTAGTTGTCATGCACTACGTGTTTGGTAATTTTTTTATCTTGAATGTGACCACTCCCATTGTTTGACCATAAGTATGGCAGACTCTCTTAGCAGAGTAAAAGGATGTTGGAGTGGAATATAGGGGAGGGAGACCCAGGGGAGGCAGAGGTGAGGACTGAGCTTTTCCTGTCTGATATTCAGATGTAATTCAGGAACGAGTATATTCTATTTACCATGTACTACTTCTCTCCAGTATGTGTTTTTAGAGTATGTATGCTCAAACATAGCACAGATGCGACACATACACGCACACAGGTTCAGGCACATATGCCCCTGCTGCCTGATAATATAGCAGCATGCAGATGTAATATCAAAATTCTTAACATTTTATATCACTTCTGTTTTCATAATTTGAAGTTTTATTCATGTTGCCAGCCCTAAGCAGAATAACGTAACCAGACAGCTACTGAATATTGACCATCCTTGCTAACTGTTTGTGAAATTCAGTCCATTCTTTGTAGTAGTTGCTACAGAAAGAGGAGAACATCACGTACAGTCCACTCTCTAGTCGAGCTTTTACCAACTAGATAAAAGCAAGTGGACTAAGAATGGTGAAGGGTGGGTCTGTTTTTCACAGTTACCTCTAGTAGTGTTTAGTCACACAGATAATTTTAGATTTTATTTGTCCATGTTTTTAGATGTCTGCAGTTGAGGTGAATGGGATTCCAAAACAAAAAAAAAAGATATTAAAAAAAAAAAAAAAAAGTAATAAGAACCACCAGTAGGTCTTTTCAGAAGTGGTGTTCAGTTACTCTTCAGTTACCATCTGCAGTTTTATTTGGAACTGCTTCCTAGTGAAGAAATGGTCTTTATGACAGTTGCTTAAAGTCTGCTTAAAAAGGACATGTTGTTTTAAAAAGTTATTTATTCACTATGTGCACAAAGCAAATCTAAATCTACTCATTCATTATGTAATTTCATTATATTAGGTTGGCGATAGAAAAGCCTGGGCAAACTCTCTGCATGATACCTCCACTAGAGTTAAGTGAGATAATTTAGTTTGTCTTTTTGGCGAACTGATCCTTTACACTGTAATTGTTAATAATTCACTGCGTTGTCTGGCTTCCTAAGCCTCATCCTTTAAAGCCTGATCTTATATGCATTAATGTTGCTGTCAGTGGTTCTACAGGGTTGCATTTACATTATATCATGATTAAAATGTTACTGCATCACTGAAAGAAAAGGATTCATATAGAACCAGGCTAGCATACCATCCAGACACGACTAAACTGTCCTGTAATACAAACTGAATGCCTTTGTTTGATAGGGAAATGTCTCCTGCTAGGTAAAGGAATGGTTCAGCATTTTAGGACATATATTTATTTGCTTTTTTTTTTTGTTGCTGAGAGCTAGATGTGAGGTTCAATGTCACTCTCATATCTGTACATTGAATATGGGTCTGGAGCCAGGAGCAGGTTAGCTTAGCTAAAGCATAAAGCCCTGAAACAGGAAAACAACTAGATCGGCCAAGTCTAAAGGTAACAAAATGTAACTCCTTAATACTCAGTATTTAAATAAACAAATAATGGTCATTTCTCATCTTTATAGGTGCTGGTTGGTAGGAGGTTTTTCTTATTTCGCTGAAAAAACTTAGAAAAATCAACTGGACTAGGTTTTAGGCAAAGACGTTTCACCTCTCATCCAAGAGGCTTCATCAGTTCTGCCCGACTGGCATTGAGCTGGAGATATTTATCCTCATCTGTGGTGTTTCAGTCCTTTGATGCCCAACAATGTCCCCTAATAACTGAGTTGTTATAGCCCAGTAAATAGGGGCGGTGGACTAAGACACAACTTGTCATCCATCTACAGCTCTGTTTTGAGATCTCTGCCCAAACATGCCCACCAAGGACAATAGGCGTCGGCCCACAGGTGAGGGTTCAAAGACAGGTAACAACGCTCACCGATACTGGGCTATAACAACTTACTTACGAAGTTTTTTTCAGCTAATTATGACCTGGGTGACTGAGAATCTGCACGGACATGTTGCTACTCACTTTTTCTTTTTTACCTTTAGACAGAGCCGTGGTTCTGTTTTCAGCCTTTAAGTTAAGCACAGCTAAATATGTCTCCACACTAAAGCCACAAACAAGAGATGGATTATCAATCTTCTTGTCACAGTCATGAAAAAAGAAAAGAAAAAAACAAACAGTTGTATCTAATGTGTGCCAGGAGAACAGAAAACATTATCGGTAGCTAGGTTAGCAGTTTTCTCTCCTTCCAGTCTTAATGGTAAACTAAGTTAACCAGCTGCTGGCTCTTGTTTTACCCTACAGATGCAACAGTGGAATCTGCCTCAGAAAAAAGCAAATGAGCATATGGCTCAAAAGTGTGAACTGCAGTGGCTTCAGAAATTATTCAGACCCCTTCAGGTTTTGTATATTTTGTATTGTAGATTTAATCGGACATGGATAAAGTTGCCATTTTTGCCTGTTAATCTACTTTCAGTGGCCCTTAATGACAAAATGAAAACATGTTTTTAGAAATGGTTACAACCCTATTTTAAATAAAAAAACTTAAATCTCTCATTTAAAGTAATATTCTGAGCCTTCACAGTGGCACTCCAGGTCTGAGTATTTTCTTAAGCCAGTGTATTTCTTCGAGGTGTAGCTTTTGCCATGCTCTAACTTGAACCAGTTTGCATAATCTTAAACATCCCTTGTGTCACGAGGGAACAAACTAGCACCTATGCTACAGCCTCATAAGTCAGATGTGCCTTTGTGTTGTCTGGCTTGCGAGGTTTCTCACGCTGTCTTGCATTAATGACTATTTTTATGAAGAAGTATTTTTCCAGTATTGGTATTTAAAGTACAGGTTGACATCCACTTAGAGTCTATCTCCTCTTACAGGAAGCAATTTGAGTGACAAATGGAATATATTGGTCCATGTTACAGTTAATGTTTGTGAATTTAGTTCTTTATTGTATTCATTATTCTTTATAGAGACATTGATGTATATGTTTTTCTGTCAGTGTTTACAAAATGATCCCTGGAAGAATAATTTTTCTTTGTTCTTTTTACTTAACATGAAATGTTAGAATTATTTTGCACAATCATGTAATGGGCCAGCGGGTGGGGGGGACAGAATCACTTACATTCTGTACTTTTTGTCGTCTACCTGGTGTGTATGATATAGTCCTAAAGGTAGACTTAAGTATTCAGTGTTACTGTAAAGTAAATGCTCATTCGTAGTGTAAATGCTCACCTTTGGTGTTTTGAAAGCACTGAGGGGGTAGAAAAACAAAACAAACGAGAGCGTGATTATACGGGGGCATTGATGTGTGAACTGCTCGCTCAACCTCAGATTACTGTCAGAATGGAATTGAAATATAAAGAGCACATTTCCCTTTCTGTAAATACTAGTTGTCATGGAACAAAAAAAAATCCATTCTACCCTCTATAAGTATTTGAGCTAAGAATATCACTGTCCTTATATCACGTGTTATACTTTGTGACAGGTGTATTCTGTGGTTTAAGAAATTAAGTCAAACTGTGGGACAGGCAGGGTGAAGAGACTGTCTTTGACCAACATCGTCCTCTGTGTGCTCTAATGCTGTATTCGACTCACATGTGACCATGGCTTATCTGCAAACAGCACCTTCAGTGTATTTGTTCTACACTGCAGAAGTGTACGAGTCCCAAACGCTGTACTATGAGTTTTGAATAAATCTATTATTTGGTAGACACTGGTATGCTGGTCATTTGTTAGAACGGCAGAAGTGATTGTATGTTTGGTGTGTGTTTTCATCTGGGGAAGATGGTGTTTGATTAATTTCTGATTGACAGAGAATTGTGTTGTGAATGAATGAAGGGATTTTTTTTGGCAGATATTTTCACAGCCTCTCATTTCCTTTCACTTGTCCTCTGGCTCGTCTTGTCGGATATCTGCTCTGTGCATGACTAACACACTACTTATACCAATTGTGGTGTGTGTTTACTCGTCTTTGATGCTGTAATAATAAATAATTTACTGAAGATGAATTAAAATTACTTGTCCTGCTACAAGGTGAGACAAAGCAAAGTAGCAATGGTTGAGTGCTGTTCTGTTTTCAAACAGGACCGCGAAGGGAAACAGGGCCGCATGTGATCATTCCCGGTGAGGAGAAAGTCCTCGTGGAGGATCCAAGTCGCAATGGACAAAGTGCCATGGAAGAAAAGTAAGAGAATAGATAACTCTCTTGTTATGCTTCTCCCTTGGCCTGAATCACAGTCTTTATATGTGATAAAGACCAAACCAGCAAGGCATTAGAGCAGTTTTACACCCTGTGGTACACGACCCCAAACTCGCTCGCTGTTAATTTTCTAAAACAGCTGAACATTATATTGTTGTTCACATGACTAAACCATGACATACTCATGCATTTGCTAGGTACTGCTTTCAGCTGTGGATTAATACACGTGTGGTGCTCTTGTGATATGTTTTTGGGAAACAACAGTTGTGTATGGCACAGATGAAGAAAATGTCAAACATAACACAAAAATTGGATTAAGCAAAGTAAAAATGAAATGTAAAAACATCAGTTAATAAGTTGGATGATCTAGTAGTAAAGGTATTTCAACATTTCGGGACAAAGACTGCCAATGCACTGTCTCCCTCTGTTTTAGTTTACTGCTGTTCAGTTCATAGGATTTGCTCCCCTTAAGAAAATATAAAATATAACCAACCTTATCCTTTACAGCTACTCTATCATAAATATCATATAAACTACGGATGCCTGGTTGTGACAAACTGTACAACATGCAGCCTCCAGTCCAAAGCTAATGTTAGCTAACTAATGAGTAAATGTAGCAGTTTAGTAGAATGCGCTAGTTACTGCTAATGTGACACAAAGCTAGGTCACTAATGTTAGAAAAACAAACATGTTAGCTTTAGATGCTAACGCACCCAGAGGAAAGAACACCACATCATAAAATCCTCTGAGTCCTCTGGCTGCTTTTAACTCTCACCATCTCAAAAAGGCAAAACCAATGTTAACCTTGGTTTTTGCTCTTTCTTTGTCCCACTCTCTCTGTGCAAAAGAACATGGCCACTTTGTTCTGCCAGCCATTGTTTTGAACTTTTAGCAGAGGAGGGCTCCTCTGTGGCTGACTCTTTGAAAGAACTACTCCTGGTTTGACAAATGCTTTACTAGGTGGCAGGTGGGGCTAATTGACAGACCATATTTTGTCAACACAATGTAGAGAAACTGGAACAACAGCAGAAGGGCTGCACATTACAGTGTCATGGGGAGTGGTGGTATAACCGAGAGACACCACGCCCTGTCCTATTTTCACTTGATTTATCAGGCAGTGTGTAAAATCTTAGTTAATGCACCTTTAGGTAAAATGTTTCATGTCTGCTTAAACTCATGTCACTTTTTTTGTTGAACCAGCTGCTGCTGGCTACTACTACTCTTCTGAGTTAATGGGATCAGCTTGCATCTTGTTGTGAATATCTTAAAATAGTGTAACACCTACCCATATGTACAGAGAAACAGGTGATATAATTGTTCCTCCAGCACATACCAACTTTCAAGTGATTCATTCCTAATGTAAACCTGTAAGAGATGGAGGACTAAACCCACAGCCCTCGTTCTGTGCAAAAATGCAGTTATTTACAAAAATTACAGCCACTGTAAATGTACATATCTGCATGCGAGTGCTGTTTTATGATAGCCTATTACTGATAGTTTGACCTTTACTGTGCATCTCACTGTCTTAAAGGAGCTT